GTGTGGCTCTGTTCCTACCTATTTAGGGTTGGTAATTATTAAAGAAGTATAATGTATTTATAACAATGTTCAGACTGCAATACACACTTGGTAAAATCTCAGTGATGTTCCAGGCTACACTGTGTGTCTAGGAAGCACCTATCATCAGAAACCCAGGTATCTTCCCTTGAAAGTTTTGGATTCATCCCATAGGCATGCAGTAGAGTTTGGGGAAAAGAACTCTTGAGTTCTTTTAGTAGGGGGTGGGGTCAGGAAATGTAGCTTCATAGGAAGGATGTAGTTATGCTGTGTCCTATGGACTTCTTTGAAGGATGGTGTCAGGAGTGAGTTAAGCAGGGAGGGTGCTGTGTGTATAATGTAAAAATGACTTGAAAGAGCTTGGCATTGACTGCAAAAATTATGATGGAGTGTTGGATGATTGGGACAATTCATAAAGAATTTTGCTTTTATCTTAATGAGTTTATACTTTATCCCATAGGTGACAGGAAGCTATAGGCTAATACCAGATTTGTGTATGAAAATTTCCTTTTTTAATTAATGATGCATAAATATTTCCTTGTTCTTTTAAAAAATTGTTTATAAAAAATATTTTAGACTTAATAATAAGTTGTAAAAGTAGTACAGAGTCCCCACATAGCCTTCTCCCAACTTCCCCGTATTGTATAACAGCTTGCATAACATTGTACAATGATTAAAATTGGGAATGAATATTGATACAAGCTTAAACAGATTTTATTTGAATTTCAGTCTTTCTCACTAATGTTCCTGTTTGGTTCAAAACCCCTCATTGCTTTTAGCCGTCATATTTCTAAGTCTCCTCCAATCTGTGAGAGTTCCTTGGTCCTTGTCTTTCATGACCTGGACACAAGTTATTTTTGTCAGTTATTTTATATGATGTTTCTCAAATTGGAGTTGCTCAGTGTTTTTTCATTATTAGAGATTATACATTTTTTGTAGTAATACCATAGAAGTGATAACTGTGCTTCTCATTCTCAGTACACCATATTGGAGGTACATGATGTTGGAAGTGATAGCTTTTTTGGATACCTGCCAGGTTTTTCTGCTGTGGAATTAGTATTTTTCTCTTTGTAATGCATGACTGTCATGGGGAGATACTGTGTAATATTCTGTTGCTCATTATACTTTAATCTGCAGTTATATCATCCACAAGAGGTTTTTGCCTGCAACCATTATTACTGTCATGTTTACTAAATGGTGATTTTCTATTTTCTACATTTGTTAACTGGAATTCTGTTAGGAAGAGCTGTCTTTTCTCCCTTGTTTGTTTTGTTTGTTTATGTAGTCATTCGGTTGTTTATATCAGAATGGATTTGTGGATTTTTATTTTATGGATTATAATCTACTACTATTACTGTTTATTATTTAGTTGCTCCCATTGCGTCAGCCTTTGGCATCGGGACTTCCTTTAGATGGGCTCCTGTGTCCTTTCAACATGCTTCTCCGTTGTCTGCCTGCCTGCCTGCCTCCCCTCCCTCCCTCTTGTTTGTTTGTTTGTTTATAGCATTTGCTTCCTGGCACGCCAAGACGTTCAGGTTTATTTTGTATTTTACCTGCTCCAGCCTTTGATCCCCCCCCCCCCAGGGTTTTGAAAACAAGATCTGTGTACTTAGTTGTGCTTATTGCTACTTGGTATCAGACAAAGCTAGGAAGTAATATGTGTATACTAGTACACATATACACACATATCTATATTTCTTTATCTACCTATCTGTATATATGTTAAAAATCAAGAGTTCATACTAATACCAGATGCTTACGCCAGAGCCTTCCTCTTTTCTTATTGATACTTACCTGTTCAATCTGGTATCCCATAAGTTCTTTCATAATTGCCAACTCATACCCCTGTGAGAAATGTGTTTTCTAACCAGAGTACAATATTATGTACAGTATGTTAGCCCTATGGCGTATAGTCAAAATACTGTTTTCTGAAGTTATACTTAGGTTAGTTCTTTTCTTCCTCCTAACTGTCAGTGTGAGTATGTCATTGTTTTGTAATAGTTGCATTCTTTTGTTACGACAGTGTTCTACTTTTTGTGCCCCCTTCACAAAATAACAGAGATCACACGGTAGTTGATCTGTTGTTTATTTTTCATGTATGAGAAACATTACTATAGTTCACAGACTCTGAGCTAGCCAAAGGTGTCATTCCTATTACCCTGTTCCAATTTTTCCCTTCTTTCCATCCTGTTCCCACCTTCTGTGGACAGTCAGTTGCATTCCTTTCTAGATGATCCTTCCTATATTTCTTTTGAAGACTGGATTTGAAATTGAGGAGGTTTGTTTTGTTTTAGGAAAAGCATTACTTCTGTGGCTTTTAACAAATGACTTCATTATTTGTGCTTGTTTCTATTTGTAAAATAAACCTTGTTCTTTTACCCTTTCCTTACTTTGTGGATGTGATGGGGATAAGTGAAGAAGGGCTAGGGCTTTCTCAGAAGAAAAGCATGCTAAAAATGTAAGCTTTTGATTTCTCTTTTTAAACAATCCTAGGTGTAATCTTCCTACCATTGATTAAGCAGGAGCAACTTGCTTCTTGAAGTTTTGCAGTCACCAGGGACAGATGAGTGAATGGTGCGTGGGCCCTTTGAGAGTTCTGAGATAGAAAGTAGAGGGATAAATACTGGCTGGGAATGTTTGATCCACAGTATTAAAAAACACTGACTGACCAATCAGGACTTTTAAAATAAATTAATCTTTGGATAAATGGAGCAATAAAAATGTGTAAGACTGTTTTTGCAATTACTGTTTCTTAAGATTCCAGATGTGTATTTTCAGTGGTGTTGGTAAACCTAAATACTAGGTTTTAGTAGCCTTTGGACTTGGAACATCATTATGCTGATGGAAAATTTAAAAAATGAATAATTCAAAACTGTCTTCAGATAAATATTATCTAAATATAAAGGAAATTTCCTGGCTCGGTTGGTTGGGCATCATGCTGTGCTGTAAAGTGAAAGGTCTCCAGTTCAGTTCCTGGTAAGGGAACATGCCTGGGTTGCAGGCTGGTCCCCAGTTAGGGCATGTGCAATAGGCAGCCGATCAGTGTTTCTCACATCGATGTTTCTCCCCCTCTCTTTTCTCCCTCCCTCCCTGTCTCTAAAAATAAATGAATAAAAATTTTAAATATAAAGAAAATTTCAGAATAGTTTTACCTCTGTAATACTATGCTTGTCTTGTCATTATGTATGTATATATATTTTTAGTCAACATAAGTTGTATTTAAAATATTTGAATTTAGCCCTGTATTATTTTTTATCTTTTTAAATATTTTTTAGCATAAAGGAAGAAGAAATGTCCTTTATGATTATTTTTATATTCTTATTTGGTGTGGTCACAACTTAAAACTGTGCCTCATATGTTAAAAATTTATTTAGGTTATTGGTATCAATTGCAGTGACCAGCTTTGTTTATAAGATTTTAGAGGATGTGTTAATTGAGATTTTTAGGATTGAGTAAAATACTTTGTCAGAGGATATGGACATTTTTATAACTCTTGCTACTTAATATTACATTACTTTCCAAGAGGAAATTAGTATAGCATTTAAGGCAATGAGTATGCATACCAATTTACCACAATTTTGGCATCATTAACTAATGTAATTATTCAAGATATTTATAATACCTAACTAGAGGTACAGGGTATCTAAGAAGGAAGAAAGGACAATTTCCCAGTGTTCATTCATTATTAATATACTGGTATGTTTTATATGTTTATTCACTACTTTGATCTAACTTTCTGGATAATCTGTATTAAAATTTTTTAATTAGCTTCCCAGTCTCTTGTCCTTTCTTGATACTTGTCCACAACTGCTCTCAGGACTGCAAATCCTTTGTCTCCCTCCCATTTTACTCCCCACCTTGGGTGAAAAGATCAGAAAAGAAATTGAGCAATAATACAGGTAAATAGAATTTCAGCCTCAAAATATTGGCTTTCATATACACTGGTTGCAGGGAAAAGAACTTCAGAACACCCCCTGCCCCAAGTCATTTTGAGTGTATGGTGACAAGGATCCATAGTCATTTTGTGGTATTCCAGCAACTCCCAGAGCCAAGGGGTAATTGTATCTGTGGCTTTATTGCCTATACCTCGGAGACTCCATATGATTGACATTTCATGGATAACCCTATCTGTTCTAAGCCTATTAAAAATATAATTTATTTTGAAATATTGAAATTAAAACTTTCCAGCCCTAGGTGGTGTGGCTCAGTGGATTGAGTGCTGGCCTGTGCTGGTTTGATTCTCTGTCAGGGCACATCCCTGGGTTGTGGGCCAGGTCCCTGGTTGAGGGGAAGGGAGAGGCAACCGATCCATGTATCTCCCACACATCGATGTTTCTCTCCCTCCCTTCCCACCTCAAAAATAAATAAATAAAATCTTTTTTAAAAAAAGAAAGAAATTAAAACGTCACAGATTCTTTCCTTCTCCCTTTTTTCATTTTACTGTATTCTAAGCATGTGTTTGATTTGTGTGGTCCAAGTAGAGTGGGTCACTACCTGATAGCATTAGGCATTCATTAAGATTTTATTGATTTTTTAACAAATACACATATGTATTATTGAACAAATTATGGTTTTCTAGAAAGAGGCTTCCAGTATACCCTGTGAATTTAAGAAGAATTAAGCACATTTAAATTTCCTTATTTGTCTTAATACTGAACTTATATATTCTTAATCCTTAGTTGAAGATCTGGTTATTTACTATATAATTGTTCTGGTAAACTTCTGTTCCATTGAATCATTTAGGTCATTTCCCTCTCAGTAGGCACTTACTACTTTCAGTCTGCTAAATATTTTGGTTCCACACTCCCTTCTCCCCAGGCAAAAGCTAATTAATTGTTTTTCTTCAGTCATACAGGTTTTGTTTTTCAGGTTGGCCATCAGAAATTTGTAGGTGTTTTATTTAAAATGCAGTAGTGCTGTTTTTCATGCTGGGTGCTGTTAAATCTTGTTGATAGTGTATTATTTTTCTTGTCCTTATTCAGACCGAGTCTGTTTCTCAACCACTGGAAAACCATGGTGCCTCTGGTCATCCTTCAGAGTCATTATCTACCAAATCATGTGGAGCATTGAGACCTGTGAATGGAGTTATTAACAGGTGAGTTACCTTTTCTACTTATTATACACTCAGAGTAGGCTTGTAAAAGGTGCGTTTGGAGCTCCTAGTTACTCCTAGCTAGGACTAACCCTGGTTTAAAGAAGCAAAAACATCATCACTCAATAATATTGTACGTGTCTTCCACTGTAGCGACAATGTTTTAATTAGCGTGCTAATGTATTTCCCTTTCACTTACTGAGGCCTAAAATTGACTCATTGTGGAGAAATATGAAAGGTCCTAAATTATTATGAATCACTGTGTTTGTAGAATTTTCTCAGAAGTGTTTACATAAACTCCTCTATTCTGGAACACATTAAATACATAAAGACTGTGTTTTGTAAATCTGTATTTATGGAAGTTTAAAGAATCCTCTACAAATGAAAAATATATGCATTTCCCTAAAAGTCGATTTCTATAGGAGAACTGATTCTTAGGCAGCTCATTAACATTTGCAAAACTCATTGTTTTTTAATTCATGTTTCTATTGTAGAAGAGAACTTAAGTTGATTATTAGAGCCTAGGTTCACTTAATGACTCAATCAAGCACTTTGCAGACATGACAGAGGTAATGTCCACCAAGAGCCTTACAAATAAAAACAGGCACTGCACACATTGTTAGATTAGCAGACATGAGCATCAGAACATGTCTGCTAATCTTGTTCTGCTCCAGAATGCTTATTTTTGTCTCTGAACATTTGCAAGAAGAGGAGGTTGAACTAGCTTTGTTTCCTTGAGTCTTCTGAGAGTTGAATATTCTTCCTTCCTCTTATGTAGTCTTCAGCCTGTCTTGGCAGACCACATGCCAGGTGACAGCTCTGATGCTGAGGAACAATTACATAAAAAGCAACGACTGAATCTAGTTTCTTCATCAACTGATGGCACCTGTGTGGCAGCCCGAACACGTCCTGTACTGAGCTGTAAGAAACGGAGGCTTGTTCGACCCAACAGCATCGTTCCTCTTTCTAAGAAGGTCAGTACCAGTGAGACTTGGTCATTGTTAAACCATGAGCCAGATGCCCAGATAGAGGCATCCAGTCTTTTGCCAACTTTGGTTCATTTAGCTAGTGTTTTCCAAACTTGGCTAACCACCGAGATTTCCTGGGGAACTTTAAAAAATACTAAGCTCCTTAACTGTGTTTCCCAGAGATTCTCATTCTCTTGCTCTGGAGTTGGGCCTGGTAATTTTGTTTTTAACAAAAAACTCCTAGGTGACTCTTCGGTCAGGTTTGGAAACCATTGGCTTGAGCTTTTTAGTAGAAATGGGAGAGAGTGAGTTCAAATGCTGCCATCAGCATTGTGAAGAACAGTGGTGTCCCTTTTCACTTCTATTATCATCACTAAAAATGGAAATGTAGAGTGCTTTCCTTTAAATAAGAATCTCCATTAAAATTTATAAACTGGTGTTAGTAAATGAATGTTTACTAATCTCACAGAGAAAATGGAGATTGATTCACAACCACAGGAAACTAGCAGATTTGAATTTATTCCAAAACTAATGAAATAATACTCCAGTAAAATTAATGTCATGTAGTGGTTAAGAGAATTAACTTTGAAGAGGGTAAACTTAGGTTTGAAGTATGGCACTGCTACTCAGTAATTTTGTGATATGGGGCAAGCTAACACCTCCTTCCATCACTGCCATTCCCCACTCCACCCCCAGGCTCTGAGATGTCACAGGATTGTTTGAGAGTTAAATGAAGTATATGTAACTTGCTTATGGGTGTCTGACTCATAAGTTACTAGTACAAAGTGGCTGTTACTGTTATTAGTTGTTCATTCACTCATCTAAAAATACTTATTGAGCTTCCTATAATGAGCTAGCTAGATCTGTTCTGTATACTGAGAATACACTAAACAAAAACAGACAAAAACCTCATGAAATATTCTGTTGTATGAGACAGAAAATAAAACAATAAATGAAGTATACATGTGACCTCTAATGTTAAGTGCTGAGGGGAAAATGGAGCAGAGGAAAGGAATGAGGACCATCTGGTTGCTCAGATGGAATAAAGCCTGGAAGCATTCCAAGGCTTGCAGATAAGAAAGATAAGGAAGAGACTTAGAGGAATGGAGTTGACTAGTGAAGTAGAAGGAAAACTAAGGGAGTGTGGTATGTGGAAGGCAAATGAAGAAAGTGTTTTTTAGCCCTGGCCGGCTTGGTTGGAGCCCAGTTGTAGCTGTGTGGATGGTGTCGTCACCTTATCCTGTAGACTGGAAGGTTGCAGGTTTGATCCCTGCCCTTGTTGAGGTGTGTATAGGTGGCAACCAGTCGATGTTTCTCTCTCTCAAAGCAATGAAGAAAGGTCCTAGGGTATTTTTTGGTTTTGTTTTTTTAAGTTTTTCAGAGAGGAAGGATTGATCAGTCATCTGTTACATACTTCAGACAGGTCAAGTTAGATAAAGACAGAATTGACCACTGGATTTGGCGGGGGCCAAAGTTGTTGGAGACCAGTGTAGCAGTTTATTAGGGAGAGGAGAGTGAACTTCAGGTCAGAGTAAGTTAGGAGAGAATGGGAAGGAATGAACTGAGGAAACCATCATAGATAACACTATCAAAGAATGTTTCTATAAAGGTGAGCAGAGAAATAGCATGTTTGAAGGGGAATCTTAAGATAGAACTATTACAGTATGTTTGCTGGTAAGAAAAACTAATGATAAAAGAGAGGGGAGAGGAAGAGAATTGTTGGAACCATTAGTATCTGGATAGTGGCTTTTCAGTGTTTGGCTTACTGTGTTACAGTGTGTGTTTGGACTATAATGTTACCATGATCTTTTTTTTTTTTTTTTTTAAGGAAAAGTACTGTAAGTGAAAATTAACTATCAGCCTGTACCATTTCTCTCTCGTTTATTCCTCAGACTACCTGAACTACCAAATACCAGAAAAGAAAAGAATAAGATACTTGGCAGGTTTCTCATTGATATTTGAAGGTACACATACATTTTTCAGAGATAGTTGAGGCAAGGAGGAGACATACAAAGCATGCTGTAAAGACCCTTTGATTCTAATACCTGTTGCTAAAACAATCATCCTAACAGATGCAGAAGTAAGCTGCATGGGAAATAAGACAAAGAAATAAATTTAGTTTGGGACATAAACCATTTGCTCGTTACAGCAGAAATACTGGAGTTCTGCCAAAGTTGGAGACAAGGGCCATTCTCTCTATCTTGGTTGCTCAGCAATATGAGGGATTTTCACTGTGGAGCGAGCATGTTGCCTTTTATCATCTTGAGGTATTTGATTTGCCAAGAAAATTTGTTCAGCATTTTTTTTTGTTTGTTTAGTTCCCACTGTGTTCCCGGTCATCTGAGTTTCATTGGTGAACAAAAATCCTTGTCCTCATGTAGTTTACTTTTTGGTGCAGGGCTAGATAGCAAAGAAGTTAACCGATAAATCATTTTCTGATATTGGTAAGTGGCAGTGAGTTCACATTTACTGTAATAAGATTTGTTTTCAAGTTTCTAAAGAAAAAACCTTAATAATGGGAATTATTATTATTATTAATTCATACTACTTTTGTAATTCATTTCCCCCTCACCCTTCCACCCTCCAAAAAAATGGTGGGTACTAGTATAATTACCAGAGTTTAGAATGTAAAAAACAAATATTTAATGGCAATATTGTTGCTTACTTACATTCTAAATTACCTCTACTGCATTCCAGAGGCAAATATAAAACTCAGGCTAGGGAGCTCATTCAGTTACTCTTTTACCAGACTGTTATCTTAGTTGAATCATGGCTGGAGTTTTATTCTACCAAGTTTTATCAGCATTTTTGAAATTGGAATATAATAATTGAGACATACTTTTAATGTAGTAGCACGTGTTTTTGCCCCCTACAAGGCTGTTTTTATGTCAGTGGTATCTTAAAACGAGTGACTATGATACAAGTTTCAGTAAGAATACTTTGTTGAACATAAATGGAAATGGGACCTATTAGTAAATTATGAAAGGCTTTGAATGCCCAAACTGTTGATTTGGCTTTATCCCCTGATTTTAGAGAGTTTTAGAGTTTTGAGCAATGAAGTGCCATATGCTATTTTTGGGGGGCTAAATCTGCAGGTAGTGTATCTTGGAGTGTATTGGTACAAAAGAGATGAGGCAGAAAGACTAACAATTGTAATGCTGGAGGAAATAATAGTCTAGAGGCTCTACAGCACTGAAGATGCAATAGATTTTTAAAGTAATCTTAAAGAACCAATAGGGTGTCATAAATGAATATTAGAGTTAAGAGAACAGAGAGCTTTGAGAATGGGAAAGTGAGGTCATTTTCCATGGAAATCAGTAAATCTGGGGAGAACATGAGGTACTTTCCTGTATCATGGTTTTATGTAATATTAGGCATAATATTTGCCTATATTGTTTATTATATATTTCATCACTCTAAGGGTCTAATATGTTAGATGTTAGTAATTAGCTAAGCCAATGAAAAAACACTCAAGTGGGAAGTATTTATAATGTATCGTGTTTATTTTGTGGCCTGTTTCTATAAGGTAGATGTTTATGACTTAATCTAAAACATTAGTTGCTAAATAGTGAGATTTTAGATCAATGAAATTGTTTAAATAAATTTGAGACCAGTGTGTAGAGTTGCTTTTTATTTTGTCAAGTGAAGTTATTTTATAAACTGGATCATAGTACAGGTGGTATTTTTCACCCTGACTGGTGTGGGTCAGTGGATTGGGCATCCTGCAAACAGATGGTATTTTAAAAAGGATAAAATAACATGCCTTGAAATTTTGAAGTGGGACTTAAAACACTTCAAGTTCTTTTAAAATAGCATTTCTTATCAAATGGTTTGACAGTGTTCTGGCATGGCTTTCAAATTTTTATAGTCTGTTGGAGGAGTGAAATTATATAGGAGGGTTGCTTTGGGTTAAATTTTAAAGTTAGCTTCTATAGGATTCCCAGTGGTCCTCCACTTTTTTCTTGTATCACCCTTGAACATAGAGGACATTCTCTTAATGCTTAGAGCCATGATATTTGTGGTTGAGGACTGAAGAACTAAAAGATTATGAGTCAGTATCAAGTGAAAAATTTTATATCAAATGGGCTATGTTCTTTTTTGAATGGAGATTCTTATGATAGACTTTGGAGGCCCAACTTTTCAGTAGTAGTCTTTTGGGAAGGAGCAAGGGTGCCACGTGGAAAATTGAGTTCCTTAGAAATTAAAGCTGCTAAGAGTACTCAGAAATCACCCAGTGTTTAGAACACCAACCTCTAAACTTTTACGAAAGTGTTTTATATATGAAGTCAAGGTGTCAATCCTTGCTGCCTCTGAAGGCTGTAGGGAAGAATTCTTTCTTGCCACTTCCTGCTTCTAGTGATTGCCAGCAATTCTTAGCATTTCTTGGCTTGTGGTAGCATAACTTCTGTCTCTGCGTCTGTCTTCACATGATCATCCTCCTGTGTGTGTCTGTGTGTCTGCATTTTCACATGGTTTTGTAAGGACACCAGTCCTTGGATTTAAGGCCCACTCTAATCCAATATTTGTTAAATGATTTACAAATAAGGCCACATACTGTGGTTCTGGGTGGGATTGAGTTTTGGGCAGGACCTGGGGAGGGGACACTGTTTTACTCAGTATACTGGCCTTTGTTCATTGGTCCTTGTCTCTACTGCATATGATAGTTTAATCATTTTTTCAATTCTAAATCTGGAAGACAGGTTGGTAGGTACTATTCCCAATTCAATTCCTAGGTTTGCTCTGAAATAGTTGGACTTCCTTTACTGCCACTGCCAGTTTCCTTGGGCTCTTGTGAACCACTGAATTTATTTTATGAAGAACTTTAGGCCTCTGTATATGGAAAAACTTAACAGGTTTACCTGTCTCTTCCCCTAATATAATTTCTGTAAAGTATAAAGAATGAAGTAATAAACATCTATGTATATACCACCCTAAATGTTAATATCTTGACTTTTTTTTACTTTATGTGTATGGTTTTTTGTGGGGGGGGAGTCGATTTCATTTAT